TTTGAGTGTTTTCTCACCATGGGTCCTCTGCTCCCAGTTTTTCCTTTGTGGTAAAAAGTTCGATGCAGTCCTTCAGCTTGAAGAAAGCCTTCTTCTGAGGCTTGTACTCCATGCTCTCATGCTTGTCAAAGTCCTGCTCACACACACACACACAAACACAGAGATACACATACAGATACAGCTGTTAGAAAACACTACTCAGAGCACTGTTGTGTCTCCCTGGACATGGATTACATCCCAATCTCAAAATAGAACAAAACAATGAATACTTTACTTTGACGTGGCCTTGTGTGAGTTCTGTGTACTCACTATACTTTCCACAAGTTAAAATATGGACTAAGAAAGTGTCTTAAGGACATCTTAAAACTATTAGAAACGACAGATTCAATCATTTTACAGGGCAGCTTTGGTGGATGGACAGAAAATAAATATTTACAGTTATAAAATTTACAAGGTAGAAACACAGAACACCGCCACGCTGCTTATTCATCGCATCTTGCAGGGAGCAACACCTTTCTCAGGGATGCAGTGGCTGCTACGGGCATCAACTCTGTGACCTTTTGATTACAAGACAGTTACGCTTGTTAACCAAAACTTCCAGCTGTTCCTGTCTGGGTCACATCGCCATATTTTGTAACGTGATGGCAGACTGCACTGCAAAGTGAAGCAATGCTGCTCTGCTAACTTAATACTGTATGTTCCTGGCTTTACCTCGACAACGGTCTCATCAAAGTACTTTTTCTTCATCTCTGGTTCCCAGTCCAAGGAGAGATAAGAGCGATCTGAAAAGAAAAAGGGGGGGGGGGGGGCAGGATACACAAATCGTGAGTCATCTTTTAATTATTATTTTAATTTATCATCATCATCATCATTCAGTTATTTCATCCATTTATCTACAGGGTCATTTATTCTAGTGCTTACAAAATGATTCATTAACTTCTCTGTGCTTTGATTAAATTATGTATTCATAATCCATGCAAAATGAGATAGCCAGCATTTGAAAAATGTGACTAACTAGTTCCAATAACACTAGGAAAAAATGAACACATAACAATTTAAACGATTGGATACTGTACTAGATGATGAGTCTGAATATATTTTGCTTGTATTTTGAATTTGAGGACATTATGTGTCTTCTTTTATTCCCTGCTTCAGCCCGGTTCCCACCACTGAGTCGGAGGTGTCCCTCGTCGAAGCGGATCTGTCTGGTGTCCTCCTTGATGAGGGAGAAGTCCGTCTTCCCCATGTTATTGAACTGGAATGTAAAAAGTCTCTTTCTGTTGTGCCCGGCCGTCTGCTGGCTTTTGGTAGAGTTCTGAGGGCCGACCACTCCGTTCTCCAGCTCGTTGTCCCCGCCCACAGAGTCCTCTGACTGGCTATTGTCGTTCTCAGAGGGCAGCTCTTGATCCTGACTGGACTCGTCGTCCTGCTCATCGGTCTCCATCTCGCCTGAGGGGGGACAGACAAGATTGTGTAAAGGACTTCAATGGCGTTTAATAACAAATGATGTGTGGCACTAATAAAGTAGGACATTTCAAAAGATGTTACAGGTCAATCAAGTATTTGATTGTAACATGTCGATGTGTGAGGGTGTTTGTGCACTCACTCGGCGACCCCTCCTCCAGCACTCCATTAGTGGCGTTACCATTGACAGTGTGTTGTTTAGATGGCTGCGTCTCTTCACAGTCCTCTTCCTCCTCCCCTACTGAAGATCGCACAAACCGACTGCAAACACAAAACCATTTTTATTCTTAAAAATAAAAAGACCAGTTTCTAAAGTTCTTCCAATTGCTTCCTGATTGCCTGCCAAAGTGGTTTAACTTATCAGCTGCCATCAAAGTTGAACATTAGGCTTAAGACAATATTCAATTATATGATCAAACACAAAGACAAATGGATGTACCAGAGGCGCAGGAGGAGCATGTTGTAGAGTTTGTCTTCACTGAGGGTTCTGGGGACGGCGATGAGGAAGGGCTGTCCAAACAGCGGCGTGCTGGTGTGGTTGTAGCCCGACTGTTTGTACTTCTCCCTCAGGTGCACCGGGATCACTACATGGTCTGTATCCTCCACCTTGTTCACCGCCAGCTCAAATCTGCAGAGAGAGACGCGGCCATTGGATATGCTACATGTTAGCACCAAGAGTTTAAAGAACAGCCACTGTTCTATGCTTTAAATCTCTGGAATGACAAACTCAAAACAATCAATAGATTTATCAAGCAATTAGAAATTAAATGAAATGATAAATCTGTGAAATTACACCATGCATTAGGGGTAAAATCAGTTCTTTTACGTGGCAAATCAACTCCAATTTAGATAATGCTGTTTCAACAATTAGATAACAGAATCAGCCAAGCTCGACACTCACACATAGATATCATCTCTCTCCATGATGCTGCTGAGGTTCTCGTTGGTGGCGAAGATCCGGTGGAAACGGTGGTTGTAGATGTCGGTTACAATCATCTGGGGGATAAAATAAAAAATGAGACAAAGGAATCAGAAGACTCTTGGAAATGTAGGCGGATTTAACTGATTTCCCTGGTGTTATTTGGTGCTCTATTACAGCAGAGTAAATATTTTGGACAGTATAATTCAATATGAAGGCGAAAAACCTATTCGAGCTTAATTAACTTTGGGCTAGAAAGTGTTGTTTCATTTGCACCTTCTGTACTGATTTCCTCTCTTCTTTTGCATTGTTATTCAGCTCCTTGCTCTAAAGGAAAAGGATACAAACAATTTCCCCCACTAGCTGCTGAGGATGGGTGGGCAGGGACAGTTTAAAGGGGAATAGACTATTTTGGTCTGTGCTGTGTGAGGAGATGTCAGCATTATAGTGCGATGGCTAATAAGAGTGCAGGGTTACTGCAGGGAGCAGAGCTGATGGTGATGTTTATACCTTCTCGGCAGGCACCCCAGACAGGTTGGAGAGGGAGGTACACAGGTCAGAGATGTAGCCCACCTTCGGCACGGTCAGCTTGTACTGAAACAGAAACGCCACCCATCAAGTACTGTCTCGCATGAAATCATAATGCCAAGATTGCTGCACTTCAGGTGCTTTTACCCAGGCATGTTACCTGGGTGGGTTTGGCCAGAGGGTCCAGTCTGACCAGATAGACTTCTAGCGTGCGTTCCTTCTTCATGGGCAGGGGTAGAGTCAAGTAGCAGAAAGGATCAAAGGTCACAGAGACCTTTGAGCACACAGGACACACCAGGGTGGACTTGAAAAGGCCATGGAAGATGTCCACAATGATGGAGTCGTTTCTCTTGATGTGGTTCTCCCACGCCTCCTCTGCCACCACCTAATATAAACAGCAAAGCACAAACGATCTATTATACAAATCTAAATAAGACATTTTGAAACTGCTTATCTGCAGAACAGAATAATCTATTTTTTAATCTATTTATTTTAAGTATATACTATGTAAAATGTGAAAATACATGTATTTAGTCATGATGAACCATTTTCTCCTATTATCTCACCTTATCAGGCCTGCCGTTAGCGTCCTTCAGCTGGATGTAGGGCTTCTTTCGGATGCGGTTCAAGTCCTCGTGAAGGCCGTCCAGGAGAAAGGCCAGCAGCTCATGAGAGTCCTGCTGTTGGTAGCCCGAGAACTGCGGAGCGAATCGGCCCACCTGGGTCTGGAGGATGTTAAACACATGAGGAAAATGCCATGGGGAGAGGCACAAAGACAGAAGGAAGAAAAAGAAAAACTAGGATATCTAACTAGCCTAACAGCTACTGTGGGTGACACAACGATAGCACTTTTACAGACCATACGTCTCATATGCAGACTCATAACAGTACACCGTTTTGAATCCAACATTCAAAACACCTTAGAGAATTTTACAATCTTTCTGACCAAAGTATTTCCAGGTAGTCACCTTGAAAGGCCTTGGGGTGACGTAGCTGTATTTGCCTGACCACAGCTGCTTGATAAGCTCGGCGTAGGCTTTGGCAATCTCCCCCTTCATGCCCAGCGGGTTGTCCTCATTCAGCTCGTCCGTGTACTTGTCTTTGAGGAAGTACTCAGTCAGTGGAGGGATATTGCTTAAACACTGCGGGGGGCGCACAAGCAGGAGAGGACAATAATCAGCAAAGGTTGGATTAAGGCTCTTAACAAGATCCGTATTTCAAACTTCCATTCCTAGGTCTATGAGTACAAAGTGCAGTCATACTCATTTCTGCAGCACACTGACAAATTCTTCTAGACTATGAACTAACCTTTGAAGACTTGGAAAGAATCAGAATAACTTTACATACTTTCCTAGACTGTGCTGAGCTCCCTGAAGACATGCTGTTACCTGCACTGCAGAGTTCATGAAGCAGGTGTTGCCTAGGTTGGAGAGTCCACAGAGGCCTGAGCGCTCACTCTGCCTACTCTGGTCTGAGTAGTCATAGCTGTTGCTGTAGGGGTGGTAGGACGGCAAACTATAGCTTGAATTCTTCACACTGTGCAATAAACATACAAAAGCACAAACAGGCAGGTTATATAAGGTCGGACAGGGTTTGTCAAACTGCTACAAGCAAAGCAAAAGGTGTAAACCGCCTATTGTAAATGTAATACTGCCACATTTATGTTAGTTAACCAGGTATATACTGTTAATACTCAACAATACATTAAAACCACCAGGCAAACATACAGTTTCAGTTTCCACTATTTCCTCCTCGACCAAAAAACCAAACTTCAATCCAAACCTATGAACCCCCACCCCAAAAAAGACACTCTCAGGCTTCCTACACAAGCAGAGTGTTTAAAGCTAGGCCAAATGCAGCAATCAGCAGACCTCTGGGAGGGCTGCAAGGCAGTGTTGGTCGTTTCTGGCTCCCACTGGTCAAGGGAAACAGCTGAGATGGCGGTGGAGGCAGTGGCCTCGCAGTTCAGCACACGGTGGTGGTCCACCCTCCTGCTGTCCAGCTCCACCGCCTCAGGCCTCAGGCACCACCAGCAACACAGGAGCATGACATCTCAGCCCCGCCCCGGCCCACGCCGGCCCGCATGTCCGCACGAAACCGAACGACCGGCAGCCTGGATGGGGTTTGGATGGGGTTCGGTTCGGAGTGTGCGGTGCATGCGAAGCCTGGTTTTTAGAGGCCGGGAAGGAAAGTCCAGCTCCAGTCTCCACTGTGGAGTCCAAATGTTAACTCAGCTAAACACAGTGCTGCTCCAGTAGCAGTTAGGATACAGTCCGAATCAAGTTTAGGCCTAAATTTGACTTTCAAGTCCAGCACAGGCCAATAACCAAACCACAGAACGCATCAACATACAAAAACACACACTCTTCCTCTTTCTTGGAGCTAACTAAGCAGCTCCCCTCCTCTCTTCTCCCCCCTTCTTCTTTTTCGAGCACGACCGCCTGTCATCTTGTTATCCTCTCTGCCTCAGATTCTTTCCCCCTGTCCTGTCCTGTCCTCTGGTCTTCTGCTCCTCCCTCTGGCCTGCCTGCTGCTCTCTGCCGCTCTACGGCTACCAGCAGATATTTATAGCAGCATCAGCAGCAGCAAGGATGCTCAAGACTACTGCTACCGGAGCTAGAGGTGCACAGTGAGAGAGAGAGAGGGAGAGAGAGAGAGAGGGAGGGAGAGGCAG